TTAGCACTTACATCTCACCATCCACAAATTAGACGATCTCTATTTGAGACATTTTATTTTTTGCTTCCCGAGAGAGCAATTTGCAAATTATTTTTAATGAATTTTGAGTCGCCATCCACAAATTAGTCAGTCTCTATTCCATCTTGACTTAGGGACCTGAAAGAGAATTTCTCATACCCACTATTCTAGAAGGATTGAAGAAAGGATGTCTAGTTTTTCAAAAGTTAGATCTAGTGTAAGAAATTCAAAGTTGATTTTTCCCTAAAATACTCATTAAGCACGTATCGAAACCATAGAACAGTAAAATCATCTAGGGAAAAATAATCAACATGAAAATTGATCTTTTCCATGTTTGTTTTATGGGAAAAAGGCCTTTCACCATAGCAGTTGAGATAATAGTTTCTCATCTCACTGTTGAGAGGCGGGCTACTCCTTGTGACCTACTCATTTCGTACCCTTTGCACGTACATAAACACGAGTTCATCTCTCGACATTTGTCACATATATGAGAGTAAAGAATAGTAATTTCGTTATCGGGTTTTCAATCACAACATGCATGTACTTCATTTACAAAAAAGAAAAGTTGGAATTTAGGTCCATTAATTAATTCCATCGTGATATTTTATCTCCTCCACTCATTTGTGTAGAAATTTAAAGGATCGTTTTTAAATTTGACTCAGGTAAATAGAAAAATCAAATCCCACACCCGTATGATAATTTTTTTAGAGATCCATGTCAACTTTAATGGTGATCCTTTGAAGTCCTACGCACATGAGTAGGAGAGGGTCCTATAGGATCATTACTCTTTTAACAATAACTAATAAGAATGGGAAAAATTTATATAAAGTTGCAACATTAAAATGTAGAATTACAAATGCACATCAAAAAACTATGTGAAAGGTTGTTTTAATGTTGAAAAACCCTCTATTTGATCATCTCGACATCGAGATATATGATATAAAAAAAAAAATTTGAGTATAAAAAATAGTGCATCTTGTAACACATTATCTAGGCCGTCCATTTTCAAGATTTCATATGTTTATAGATCTCCTTGATTTTAACTATTTTTTCAGTTTAAAATTTTCTAATTAGATATGAAAATAGATTTTAAGATAATTTTAAGAATTATTTACAAAAAAAATTACATGTTATGATAAAATTTGGATGCGTACTTTAATTGGATTGTTTAAGATTGCAACCTTATAGAAATTACATCCAATAACAATTAATGTCTAAGTTTTTAAAATGTCAGATATATCGTTATTTGAAAAAAACGAAAATACGCATGGCTATGTTACATAGCTCCCTTGCCACACGCATTTCCAATGCATTACCTTGCTCTCTCTCTCTCTCTCCACCGACGCTCCCTTGATTTGGTTCCCCATTCTCGCCTCTCTCCCCATCTTTGCAACCACTCTCCCTGCCCTTACCTACTGCTCTCTCTCTCTCTCTTCACTTCAATATCTACAATGATCCCAAAAATCTCTTTTATGTCAGACATTCGAAATGGAGGACCAAGAATCTGAATAACTCTATAACATACGATAGAGAACCAAGGAGAACTAAGGCATATTTTAAAACCATTTCAAATTTTCACTATTTTATTCAGTCATTCTGGTTGTAATGAGACAGGTTCTCCATCTTAGAACTTAGAAAATCATGGTTATCATATTTTGTCTTGTGAATTCAGGTTGTAAAGAGACGTGTTCTCTAGTGAGCTACTTTCTTTTGTGTACTTTTTTAGTTTTATGGATTTCTATGCTTGTTTTTTGTCGAGTACTCAACTAAAATAAAATAATAAATATGAAGAATAAAAGAAAA